TTTTTATATACTCTTTTGCATAAATTTTCGTTCTAAATCTATCTTCACGCTGTATTTTAATGTCATTTGCTCACTGATTTATTCCATAGGTCTGAATCAGACTCCGAAAAATCAGATGCGGAATTCAGCGATCAGCATCTTGATCAGCTGATTATCGTTACTCAGACGCCTCCCCCGCCAACGAAACGTCAGTTTGACAGAACTGGCGATCACGTCCCCAGAGCCAAGGTTACTCATGACTTAGCTAGGATAATCGACGATGGCCTTCGGCGATACGAACAAGATCTCTGGACGGCTGGAGAAGAGGTATATATATATTCAATGCTGCTTATACTGAAATTGCGTTTTTCAGATCGACCGAGATCCAAAAATGTTTGTGAAAGTGGAAACAATAAGTCAGGAGGAATTCGACAGTTTACATTCGCCAATGCGTCGACGGGTGAAACATGGTCGCTCGCCTGTGCCGACGACGGAAGCCGTTGTAGGCGGCGTTTTTTGTGCGCAGTCACTCCCGTCGCTGACGCATATCAAGTCGCTAGAGGAAAAATTTATTCCCAAAAGTCCGATTGCCAAACGGGAGACCAAAACTGGTCGCGATCTGCCTCGCTTTTACCCGGTTGTCAAGCCACAGCGTCCTTTGGATCCACGTAGTCCCCGAAAGCAGAAAACCCGTCATAGTCTCAACCCTCCCGTCGAGATGCACGTCGGCTGGGTGATGGACGCGAAGCACGACTTGATTCCTTCTGTTACGCGTTCGTCTTCTGGAGGGTGAGCATTCTGTTATTTCGCTAAATAATAAATTGTTTCCTATTAACTACCTGCTTATGAGCAAAATCAATAGACCTGCTTTTTGTCATGGTTATCTTTGGAAGCCACTTCTTTGTTATCTCGAGGTAAAACGCATTCGCTAAAGCTTCCAGTCTTTCTTCAGAACTTGTCTTGCCTTATGAGCTCTCTATCGATGTGTTATTGCCAGTCACTGAAACTTTTTCATGCATTTTATCGGGTTGGCATTCATACAATTTCATCAAACCGGCATTTAACCAAAATTTTAATCATTCAGTTGAGAAGAGTTTTTTATCTCTGTGTGTCAGGTCTTGATGATTCCCTTTTAACAGTTTTAGTCAATTCCGCCATTACCAGTGATCGGGGCTGCATTTTGAGAACTAGATGAAAATAATAGACTAGGATAGAGCCTCATTGTCCTTGTTTCGCTGCTGCTGTGTTTTTGTTTCATATATTGTGTAAAATGTTTTTGTCACATCATTAAGTCAGTCCCAAGAAAAATCTTTTTAAAATTCTTTAGCACATTTTCACCGTTGCAGTTCTTTATCTGTATTCCTTTATAATAAAAGCTTTTAGTGTGCTGTTTTTCGCACTGTCTCAAAATGTATAAAATCAACAATGCCGATTTTGTTTTTAGCTCGATTGAAGTTCCTAGTCTTTTTTTCAGCGGCCCTCAAGCAATCCCGCAGTTTCATCATCCTTCATACGCTTTGTTGCGGCAAAACGGGTTTGTGCAGCAGGTATATTCTGAATGGAAGAAACGGTGTCTGAGAGGTATACGACGGTGATTCTATATTATTTGAAGCCCTTTGTTCATTTCAATATGTATTTCCTGTTTTGAAAACAGAGCGCAAATACTGCGGATTTGGCACCATCGAAATGAATACTCTCTACCGGTTTTGGTCCTTCTTCCTTCGTGAGAACTTCAACCGAACTATGTACGAAGAATTCAAGCGACTTGCAAACGAAGATGCAGACGCCGGCTGTCGGTGAGTTTTCTGCCACTTATTTTAAGTCAAATAATAACCTTCGGGATGACAGGAGTTGCTTAATCGATAAAGCGTTGTACTTAGTAGGAAAATTTGAGCCCTGGTCATATCATTTGCGTGTCATTTTCCGAGGTAGATAAACCAGTGTCATTTGACGGAATGGTAAGAGGAGGTACTCAGGGTGTTTGCTACATAGGCGAGATATTGTAGATTGAAAATAAAGCACTCCTGGTTGATGACATAGAGAAAGTGATTAGCATCTCACCAATAGCTCCGTGAAAAATTACTTAATTTTTAATAATATTACAATATGTAATCCTTTGATAAGTCACAAACGGGAAGACCACGCATAAAATGTTCTTTAATTAGAGACATCTACAAGTTTCCTCCGTACCTTAGGATCGACTGACCTATGTACAACTGCTGTTCACATGGAACTCTTCTCCACTTCGGTCTTCAAGGTTCTCTCTTGAATATTCGCTACTACCACCAAGATCTGCATCAACGATGGCTCGCACAAGACTCACGTACTGATTCCATAGCTCATCGCCGCGCTTCTCCTA